GAGGAGGAGGAGGAGGAGGAGGAGGAGGAGGGTGTCACACCTGCAGTTTCTCCCAACATGGGACCGTTGTCAGTTTTTACTGCAGCAGCATCTTCTGATTACAGAGACCTGTGGTGCGTTCAGGTACCAATTGTAAAGCCAATTACCACAAGTTAGTGGGGTTTAAAAAGTTAGAAAAGATCTGCAGAAAGTTCTTATTTCTGTTGTGATGAATCTTTTTATATAAATAAAACACGTTAATCTTTGTGTGTCTGCGAGGACAGGTGGTGACAGATAGACAGAGCTCGTAGGTTTCTCATCTTCCTCGGCCGAGGCTCAACACTCCTCAGCAGCTCCTCCCTCTCGTTGCTATGGAGGCCCTTTCCACCAATGTGATGGGAAATAAAAAGATCCTGTGAGTTATTAAAATGAGAAACTCTCAAAATAATGAGTTGATCTAAAAAATAAATGACTAGCCTATTTTAAAATAATAACTGAGAATCTTTCTAAAAAAGACTTATAATACGAGTTAGTATTGCAAAATAATGGACTTACTGAAAATGACTTAATTTGACAAAGTAATGACGTAATATCTCAAAATGACTGAGTACTGCAACATAATCAGAAACTTTCTCAAAATTAAAACTTGCTATCAAAATTAATTTAGTATCTCAAAATGAAGTCTGTCATTATTTTGAGATACTAAGTCAGTTTTGATAAACTAAATTATGATGCAATACAAAACAAGATGTAGTAATTTAGCGAAATTACGTCATTATTTGAAGATACTAAGTGAATGTTTTGGTGAGCTATTTTGAGATAGTCATTTTAAAATACTAAGTCATTATTTCGGGAAACTAAGTCACTATTTTGAGATACTAGGTCATTATTTCAAGATACTTAATCTTTATTTTTGTGAGTCATTATTTTGTTAAGTTGGCATTTTGAGATAGTAAGTAACTCTTTAGAGATACTAAGTCATTATTTTGAGAAGCTAAGTCATTATTTTGAGCCAGTAAGTCATTAACTTCAGATAAGTCATTATTTTGAGATACTAAGTCTTTATTCCAAGATACTAAGTCTTTATTTTGAAATACTAAGTCATTACTTTTGTTAAGTCAGCATTTTGAGAGTGAGTCATTAATTTGAGATACTAAGTCATTATTTCGAGATACTGGTCAGTAATTACTTTGAGACAATGAGTCATTATTTCCAGATACTGAGTCATTTTGAAAAATCACATCATTTATTTGGTAAGGCATGTTTTTGAGATACTAAATCATTATCTTGAGATCATTCTTTATTATAATTTTTCTGAATTTAAGTCATTATTTTGGGAAGTCATTAAAAGATACTAAGTCATTTTTTTTAGATAATTATTTTGTAAAGTCATTAATTTGAGATATTTTTAAGATACTAAGTCATTTTGAGGTACTTTAGATATACTTGAGATATTAAGTCATTTTGTTAAGGTGGAGGAAAAATATCGACAGTTGAATTTACAGTTGAAAAAAGCGAATAAATCGCAATATATTTTATCACAATACTCAACATGTGACTTTAGCATCATGATAATATCGTATCGTGGGGACATTTAAATAAATTCTCTCACTATATTAACTTCCAGGATCTTTTTTTTCCCCATCACACTGGCAGCAATGGGCTTCCGTACTACTCTCCTTTACTTTCTACATGACGTGACACCTCCACTGAGATGGAGGTCGATGGCAGGACTGGACGGGAGTGAGGACCCAGAATCCTCCTCGGTGCCGTTAACGAGACGTTTCCACGTTTATAAAAACGATTATAAAAACTAGATTTATTTTACACAAACAGAAAACGTCCATACGTAACTACAGTAACGCCGACGCCTGAATCCTTCGCTCCGTGGTTTAAACGCAGGGCTCTGTTGGGCCCGCCAGGGGCTGAGGTGGGGGATGTATTAACCAATCCTCTGTTCCCATCAGGACAGACATCCAATCAGCTCACACCTCGTCAGAGAGAAACAGAAAAGCTGATTTTTAACCCAACATGGTCGTTCATGACGTGTTTAGAAACAAAACCGACACGTGATGTTCAGTTTCTTTAACTTTGATATATTTTAACCTCTTAATTATTTAATCCTCTTAAAACACTGTAAAAAGTCATTTTTCTTGACGCTTAACTGCAGAATTTAAAATTAAAAACTTAAATACAACAAAACCTCGACGGGTTAAAACACCAAACGTTCTGTTCCTTGGTTATAAGCAGCTTCCTCTTCTCTCTGCTGCAGCTGGAGACGCTTTAAAGGAAAAATCCCCCTCAGATCTTCTTCTTCTGCTGTTCAGCAACACGTTTCAGTGATTACACTGTAAAGTGTCGTTCTTCTGGCTGATGCTTCTCGGTGTGACTTAATACTCGTTTCCTGTAGTTTTACTTGTGTATCGAGGTGAAGTCTAACAGCAGCGACAGACAGAAACACTACAAGTTTCAGCAGGTGTCAGCGCACCTTCTGCACCTTTAAAACAGATATTTAAATCTTCGTTAATGGAGGAGGAACTGCAGCAGCAACACGTGTCAGTGCTCAGTGACAACAGCACCAGTTCCTCTGTGGATGTTAAAGTTTGACTGTTGTAGCAGCGTTTCTAAGAAATTTTGGGGGAAAAAAACACAAGACATCAAAAATGAAAGCGGTCTTTTCTCTGTTCGGACCCCAGAAGTTATGGCAGTGTAATTTGAATTACTGTGAGGTAACGTTGCATTCAGGTGATAAAACTCAGACAAGTAATTGTGAGCATGAAAAAATGTCATCTTGAAGTTTTGATAGCTATGATACGTCATATGACACAAAAAGAAGCGCCAACAAACAGCTGACACTGTAACAGGAGGTTTTCATGCACTGACTGTTGAAGTGCAAAGAGTCATGTGATGAGTGGATGGTTTGAATAACTTCCTCTGAATTAACCGTTAACTTCATGCTGCTAATAATCGTGCAGGTCCTCATTGCAGCACCGCCGACCTCACGAGGACAAGACACTGGCCATGGACGACAGCGTCCCTGAGTCCAGCGAGGACTTTTGTTGGGTCCCTCAGTTTCATCTCGCCATCAAATAAAGACCGAAAACTTGGAGCTTTACATCAGATGTGAACCGTCAGTGTCGATGAGCAGATCACACGAAGGTCAGTGAACACACCAGAGAGAAAAGGCAGGACTCTGATACGGAGGTGATGTCTCGGTGCAAAGACAGAACGAAGATCTGGCTCTGAGTCTGAGGCTCAGACACAAAAACCTCAAACTGTCTCTGATGTCAAACCTCGAACTGAAACACCTGGATGTGACGTCACTGTCGTCCACAGAAGAACAAGAAGAAGAAACAAGTGAGCGCAGAACGTCACAGAGAGACGACTCTGGGGGATTTTTCCTTTAAGTATATCTCTGCTCCTGCTGTCTGAGGGTCAGGAGGTCAGACTAGTGTTAACACGAGGGGAGGGGGAGGGGACGGGGGGTTCATGTAGTGTCATCGTGACTCTGCAGACCGGGACAGATGACATCACAGGACAGGTAAGCTGCTCAGTGTCGACCTGCAGGGTTTAAACAACGTTTCCACAACGTTTCTGCTGCTGAACGTCTCTCAGTCTCTTCAGTCAGTCGGAGGGAGACGGCACCTCTTAACTTAAACTGTGTGTGTGTGTGTGTGTGTGTGTGTGTGTGTGTGTGAGTGATTGTGTGTGTTCAGCCGTCTGATGGAGGTGCGCTCACCTCATCAGTCTCTCATTAATATATAATCTGTGTTCAGAGACCTGAACAGACCTGAATACTGTTTGTGTGTGAACAGACGAGCCTGACTCTCTTTATCTCTTCATCTCTGTCAGTCTGTGTCTCTCGCACCACGGTCTTCCTCTTCTCCTCCTCCTCCTCCTCATCTACACGTAGACCCTGGCAAGGGCGTCGGCTCCGGCGGAGGCGATGTAGGCCTTGGAGGGGTGGAAGGCCACGTCGTAGATGGCCTCCTCGCTCTTCTTACGATGAGCTGTAATCTCCTGAACGCACGTTTTACTGTCCAGGTTCCACAGACGAAGGGAGCAGTCGTGACCTGAGGAGGAGGAAGAGGAGGAGGATGTGGAATGAAGGAAAAGGGAGGTGGAGGGGGAGGAGGATGTGGAATGAAGGAAAAGGGAGGAGGAGGAGGAGAGACAAGTAGGAGGAGGATGGGGGAGGAAGAAGAGTAAACATTTTGAGTTCAAACACATTATTAGGATTAATATCAGTGAGAGTTCATGTGTGAAGCAGCTTCCTGTGTGTTTCCTTACTTCCGGACATCAGGTAGATGCCATTAGGATCCACAGCCAGACTGGTGACTGCGTCCAGGTGAGCTACCATGGCATGGATCACTTTACCTGCACACACACATACACACACAGTCAAACAGACAGGTAAACACTAGCACTCTACAAATAATCACCTTTGTATCGAAACAACGGAAACAACTTTTTTCTGCAATGTTCTGAAACAGTTTTATTTCAACGCAAATCTGAACTGGGCTTTAAGCAATGGAAACACGATTCTTATTTTTACGTGATTATACACTAAAGAAAAAATACTTATTTTGTTTCTGCCAGTATTCCCCCCTGAATCCTTCACACTGGACTTTTAACCAGCAGAAGTCCCACTGAGATTAAAAACCTTCTGAGAGACAGACTCACCTGACTTGTTATCGTAGAATTTGATGTGTCTGTCTTCATGAGCCGTGATGGTGACCGGCAACGTGGGATGACTGACCACCTTGTTGATATGATTCGACCCCGGGAGGGCTGCGAATTCAAAGAAGAAGAAAAGACGACGATGAGGAGGAGAGAGAAGACAATTAAATCCATTATTTTTGTACAAATTCCAATTATTACTACAGATTTTAATTTATTTTTTGTGTGTGTGTTTTTGTGTGTCTCTTACTGCCTTCTCCCTGCCCCTTCAGCACCAGTGCATTCTGGGAGGTCTCCAGGTCATACACCACCACGTCTCCGGTGTTAAACGATGCCACCATGTGGGCAGGGTCACACCCGTTAAAGTCCACCGATGTGGGGACCCCGTGCTCTGCGAACACACACACATTCACGTTAATAAGCTTCTGTTCCAGTGGTGGCCTCAGTGGACGCTCTCCGTCCTCCAGGGGACGCTCTCCATCTCCATCTTCTGTCCTCACCCTTGTTTGTGTTGAAAGTGCTGATGCAGGGGTTCTTCTCCGTCGGGTTCCACAGTTTCACCGTTCCGTCGGCTGAGCAGGACAGAAGGCGGTTCTTGATGCCGCTGTAAGCCAATCCCCACACAGCATCTGTGTGCCCCAACCATGACCCCGCCAGGACGCTGGGATCTGATTGGATGAGAGATGAGAGAGAGGGGAGGGGTCTGTTATTGTGCAGCATGGTTTAGATGCACAGATCTGACTTAATCAGTCACACACAGTGTTCCTTTAAGAGTTCAGGTTATAGTTAGTATTTCACTGAGGTGTCCCACCAGAACTACGTGTGTGTGTGTGTGTGTGTGTGTGTGTGTGTGTGTGTGTGTGTGTGTGTACCGTAGGTATCGTAGGGGTCGACATTAGAGCTGGGGATGTTCCACCACTGGATGGTCGAGTCAATGCCTCCACTGAAACACTGTTCACCACTGGACGTCATGGCCAACGACAACACTGGACCACTGAGGACAGACAGACAGATTAGAGAGAGACACACAGAGACAGAGAGACAGAAGGGCAGAGGGAGGCAAATACAGACAGACAGAGAGACAGAGTGAGAAAGAGACAGGGTGAGACAGACAGAGTGATAGACCGAGACAGGAAGAGACAGAGGGAGACAGCCAGAGAGAGAGACGGAGACAGAGAGAGTGAGAGAGAGAGACAGAGACACACACACACACACACACACACACACAGATAGAGACAGGAAGAGATAGACAGAGACAGTCAAAGAAAGAGACAAACAGCCAGGGACAGACAGAGTGACAGAGAAACAGGGGGAGACGGAAAGAGACAAACAGATAGAGACAGCCAGAGATGGACAGAGTGAGAGAGACAGATCATTCCAAAGGTTTGTCATGGTTCTGTTCCTCATGTTTACCTGAGACATCATCTACAAGCCTGAGTGGATACTGTTGTACTCACTGTTACATTACCTGTGTGTGTGTGTGTGTGTGTGTGTGTGTGTGTGTGTGTGTGTGATACATACACATGGGCTCTGAATGTATAGACTGGCTCCACATCAAAAGAGGCACTTCTGTAAAACACAAAGAAACATACAGACTGTAACTAAACACATCATCATCATCATCATCATCATCACAGCCTCCCTCCTCCTCCTCTCTGTCCCTGGAGAGTAAAGCCGCTGGGAGCTGAGCTGTGCTGCAGTGGATCCTGAGGGGAGGTGTTTGCAGGGATTATTTGTGGGACACTGATGTGTCTGTGTTTGAAGTTGGGCTCAATAGTGTCAGAGGCGCCGCGCTGACGAGGAAATGAGATGCAAATACTGAAGGATCTGTCAGGTCTGAGGAAGAGAAAGAGGGGATTTTCCTCTGAAGCAGAGAGAATACAGCAACGAGGAAGTGAAGGAAACACTGTCTGTGATTCTCCGTTAATACAGCATCAAGTACCGACAGAGGAGGAGGAAGTAATCAGATACTTCAACATCAAGTTTCCACTGTGAAACACTGTGGATGGTACCAATAGAACGGTTCTGTACTGTCCCCATATTTGGTCCCCCCTCTGTTGGGTGCCTGGCACACAGATCAGCAGTTCGATCCCGGCTCCTTCACTCTGCATGTCGAGGTATCCTTGAGCAAGATACTGAATCCCAAATTGCTCCCGATGGCTGTTTCATCGGTGTGTGAGTGTGTTAAAACTGAGTAGCAGGTGGCACCTTGTATGGTAGCCTCAACCTCCAGTGTGTGAATGGGTGAATGTGACTTGTGGTGTAAAAGCGCTTAGAGTGGTGAGATGTCTGGAGAGGAGCTATACAAGTGCAGATCCATTTACCATCTGGTACATGACTGTTTTTCTCAGTCTGGCTTTGAAGAGAGTGATGTCACGGCTTCATTTCCCTGTCCGAAATCACTGTCTCAAAGAAAGGTATGGCTGCGAAAATATTCTTAATATAATGCACACTTAAACTGATTTTTTAAGGCTTCTGAAATATGTTTTGCTGCTGCCCATGTTGCTTTGATCGTTGATGATCATTTGGAGGGTGACATATTCCTTTAACTTTGAATTCTGACGGTTAATTTTCACATGGCAGCATTAATTCTGAGGAGCAACAGTTCCTCCCAGAAGGCTTTGGCAGTGGGCCAGTTGTTGATAAATTAAACCAGGCTGCAGAGCTCATAATGCAAATGAGAAAGCAGCCTGATGAGCCTCTGAACTCATTAACATCCATCAGTTTGGTTTCCCAGTAAGTTATATCTACACTGAACAAAAAAACTGTGGATGAGAAGACGACTGTGACAAAACTGTTGAAGTCTCTGGAAATACAAACCATCAAAATATTTATTCCAGCATCACCCGTAGGTGTCTAACAAAGGATGTGACCCTCATGTTTAAGTTCCCCTGTACGATGGAGTAATAACTAATAAATAATAAATGCCAATCACACAGTAGAGAGGCTGTTTCCTGGGCTCTTTAAACATGAGAGGTCCAGATTCAGGTCATGGTCGACCATCTGGACTCAACACCAACTACAACCACGTCACCTGAGAGACCTGACATGAGGTGAGCTGCTTAAAAAAATGTAGTTTGACCGCAGCTACGGTAACACTTGGTTAGGTGTGTAACTCACTTTTTGGCAGGGACGGTCTTGGTAAGGTTCCACAGTTTGAGGGTGTGGTCCTCAGACACGGTGACCAGACAGGGCTCCACAGGGTGGAAGGCCAACGCTCGGACGCCGTCAAAGTGGCTCCGCAGCGTGTACTTGGGGTTCCATGTCTTCCTGAACGAAGACTCCTTACTGGACGGCAGCTGAGGTCGATAATAAACGATAGGTGAGGTCATTAAATGTGTCAGTGACTGTGTCCTGAACTACAGCTGTGGTTTTGTTTGTGTCTTACATCGTAGCTGTAGTCTGTTTCGTCGTTGGTGACGGTGAGGTCAGCGAGGTCGCCCAAACCCAGCACGCTCTCCAACACGTCGTCTGAACCCCCCAGCAGGAAGGACTTCCCCCCACCAGGAGGAAACGGAAGAGGCTCCGCTGCAGACACAGATATTACACCTTAGCTTTCTTTCTGTGACAGAATCTTACACTAACAGCAGAATCCCTCATCATCCTCACACGTACACATATACAATTTTCAACGTAAACTATTATTTAAAAACAATCATGGGCAGCCTCATAAATAATGAATCAAATCTGTCACAGTAGGATTAATTACATAAATCACATATCCAAGTTGCGCAGAGATTTCCAGCCTGAATGTGATGTTACTCTTTGTGTTAACAGAATCTGATTGGCTGATTATTTTCTTCCAGCAGTCTACTTCGTTGTAAGTAGCTTGCAGAGTTCACTGGTACCGCTCATTTGTGACTGGACGGACACCACTTCCTCTAAGAAGTCCTGTATCTCTGCCAAGTACGGACCAAACCATCTCACCGAAGTGGAAAACAATCCGAAGTCCAAGTCAACCAAACTAAACATCACAGGAGTGAAAATGCCTCGTGTCTCTCACCCCACTCTGTCCCGTCTCCGGAGCTCCGAGCCTCGCCTGCTCCCTCGCCATCCTCCGCCGTCACCAGGAAGTCAAACTCCTTCAGAGCCTCCTCCGTGTCGGCGTCATCCTCTGACGCCAAGCCCTCGTTCCCCACCTGCAGGAGGACAAACACATTGTTAGAGCTGCAAAAAATCAGTCAATTAATCAATTATTCAGTCGGCAGGAAATTAATCAGCTACTACTTTGATGATCAGTTGTTAGAGTCTTTTTTCAAGCACAAATTGTGATGTTTCCTGGTTCTCATATATGACGATTTGCTGCTTTCCTTGGTCCTACATTACAGTGAATTTAATGTTGGCTGATAAAATAAGACATTTCGGCTCGAGGACATGCTGAGAGGCTTTTCTCACTGTGCATCAATGATGTGTAGAACAAACGATTCATTGATAAAATAATCTACAGATCAGTCTGTAACGAACAGAATCATGAGTTGCAGCCTGATATAGATATATTTGAAACGTGTGTGTGTGTGTACCTTGGTCTTGTGTTTCTTGGCTCGGTGGTGTTTGTCGGTGCTGATGTCGTCCATCAGGTCTCCCTCCTCATCCTCGTCTTCGTCGCTGTCCTCTGCGTTCTCCAGGAAGTTGAATGTCTCCAGAACGTCTCCTGGACTCCTGGACACAAAAACACAACTAGAGTCACCACCTCGCGTTTGTACTTCTCCATGAACCTGTCAAGTTTCTCTGACAGTTTCCATCCATGTCTGTGAACATGTCAATGCTTCACACACATCATCTCCCCTGACAGCACAGGTATACAAACACAGACCATAGACTGTATAAAATAATGGATGCAGCTACTGTGACGTTCCCCACTGGTTTGTGGACGGCTGTTTTAAAGCAAAGGATTGACTCGTTTGAGAGCCAGCCTCAAGTGGCCTTTAGAGGAACTGCAGTGTTTGGCACTTCTGCAGTGGCTTCGTTTTTAAGCTACAGAGGTTGCTGCTTGGTGTAAACAGTGTGTGACCTCTGACACCTGGTAACTGTGCGTGTGTTTGTGTACCTCTTGCTGTCCTTGCGGCGCTCTGTCCCGTTGATCAGGTGCTGCAGGTTCTTGTTCTCCACAGATCCGTTCTGCTCGGAGCCCGACAGGCCGAGCAGAGAGCGAACCCTCTGAGTACGAACGTCCAGGATGGTGTCTGTGTATCCTACTTCCTGCAGGTACCTAGACACACACAGAGGTTTAAACATTAGTGAACAAATCTAATTGGTTTTTCATTATCTATTCTGACCTTGTACAAAGTATTTGGTGAATAAATGCAGGTCTAGTTGTGAAGCAAATTCCGGTGATCTTTCTCTAAATCCAGCTCAAACTCAACACGTCATCTCCGCTCCAGGCAGAAGATTTAACACTGATATGTTGTGAGCGTTCTTACTGTCTGAGTAGTTGTCTTCCTTGTTTCCAGGTGAGCTGACTGTTGGCAGGAACAGCAGAGACCTCTGAGTCTTTGGTGTCTAACCGACAAACACACACAAAACAGGAATATAGGAAACAGTGAATAATACGACAGCACCCGCAGGACGCCGTCAGATAAGTGACAGTGAAGTGATTCCTTTCCCAAGTTCATACCAACATTACTAATGAAATTCAAGGAGTTGGAGTTCATTTTCAAGCACTATATTTTTCATTTTCAAGGGCTTTACTGAAAGGAACTTATACATTTTCAAATATAATTTTTTAGCAGGTGTCAGGACAGAAAGTGGGATTGAAGAAGAGAAGAAGAGGAGGAAAAAAAGCTGAGAATCGTAGAGAGAACAGATTAAAGGCGAGAAAGATCAGAGTGTAACAGTATTACAGTAACAGCACATGAAGACAGTCTGACGGCAGGTTAACAGACACAAACAAGTTGTTCTTTAATCACCTGATTCAAAGCTTGGCATCTTCATCTCCCCTTGGTTTAACTCCGTCCCATATTTTAACTTGTGGTATTTTGCTCTGAGGAGAAAACAACAAAAATATATTTAATCATTTAAACATCAAACAGCATCTGTGTTTAGTTTGTTACTTTCATTTTTCCTCATCTACATCTCTTTGATTTTTAAAAATCCTTCATATTACGGACACATTGTCATGGGTGGTGCGAGAATGAATAGTCTGGAGGGGCGCTCTGCTGTATCATCAGCTGTCCATGCTCACACAAGGGTACGCTCGAGCATTTCTTTCCGTCATAATGGGTTGTTCAATTTTTCACGAAACATCATGTTTCATAAGCTCTTCATTCTAATATAAAAACCTGGAGGCTTTACTGGAGAGGAAGCACATGTTCAAGGCTCCACATCCAGGTGTGTGGACACTAGAGGACAGCAGACAGTGGGCGCAGACTCCGCAGACCTCCCACCCACTCTCCGGTTCTCTGGCATGCTCCAGGGACGCTGGCTTAACTCTCAGCCCCCTGGCTGTGCCCCACAGCCCCTACGCAGCTTCCATCAAGCCCCACTGACCCAGGCTTTGCTCTGCTTCTCTACAAAAGAACCAGAGGGAGGGAAGGAGTTCTGCGAGGTCCGTGCCCACCTCAGAGGGCCCTCTGTCGGCTTTTTTCCAGTGTCCACATACCCCTGGATATGAAGCTGTGGACTTAATCATTTTTTGGAAAAGAGTTTGTGCTTCTGCTCTCCAAACATTTGTTCTCTCATGCCACGCCAATCACAGCGGGATCCATAGATGCTTTAAATGACTGAAGGAAATTTGTATCTCCTCGACAAATGATTCAAATCATCAACATTTAAACTTCAGACACGAATGATTCTTGCTTATAAATCAGTTTCAGAGCTGAGTGTGACTGTTAACAGTGAGCTGCAGGAACTTTCTGCACAGCACTTCCTGCAGGTAGATGATTCACCTGAGAGCTAAAGGTCTCATGACTTCCTGCTGATTCTTCACATTTCTCCTCTGCTGCTGTTTCGTGTTTATTCTAACTGATACCAGCTGTTGACAAAACTTGAACCTGGTGCATTATTTACTGCGCTGAAGGATCGTCCGTGTTCATAAACAATGTTAAAGGTTTTTTTCCTGAGTGGGTTCGAGGACAGAGGGATGTCGTATGCTGCAAAGCCTTCTGACGCAAATTGTGATTTGTGATATTGGGCTCTATAAATAAAACTGAATTGAGCCACACATCTCTTCACTGCTTGAAGGTATACTCTGCAGGATTTTCCTTAAAAAAAAAAAACAAAAAAAAAAACAATGTACAGATTCATACAGAGGTAATCCCTCCCAGTCATCACTTATGACTCACTCTCAGTGTGTGCTGGTGTATTTATCTGCAGGAATGATGGAAACCACACAGAAGAAAGCAAATATAGTGAATGAGAGTGAACCTGGGGTTGGTTTTTACTTTCACTGCCAATTCCTGCATCAACTCATAAACGCAGCACAACTGATGACTAAAGCCTAGTTCACATTACACAATTTTCACTGCGATTTTGATGTTGCAGAGGATCTTGAGAGCCACCTTGGGTCGGAGGTGAGTCGGCAGATAGTCTGCCACGACGAGTCCTCATGTGTGAACAAGCCTACAAGCAAGTCGCCCCCTCGTCTGCAACTGGGACTGGATATCTGGCATGCTAGAAAACTGGAGAAGGCTGACACGACTGACAAAGAGCATCAGCCAATGAGAGGTGGGTTACGTCCCACGTCAGCACGCAGGAGGACTGAAGAAATGTGAGGAGGACAAGTCGCAGGGTTGCCATTTGCCAGGTCCTCTTATTAGCCGCGACTTTGGGCTTGTTTCTAAAGTGGAGTTGCTTATTTGGGCTTGCTCTCTAAACGTCACCTTCCTCTATATATATCCGTCAGANATTAGCCGCGACTTTGGGCTTGTTTCTAAAGTGGAGTTGCTTATTTGGGCTTGCTCTCTAAACGTCACCTTCCTCTATATATATCCGTCAGATCCCCTACCTACTTCAATGATGATGGAACCTGTAATAAATGTAATATATTTGCTGAGATGGAGGCGAGGCTCAGTGACTAGAAGAGCTGGTAGAAGCGCTCCATAGCTGCAAGTTACTCCAGTAGCCATAGTAGCTCTAGTGCTAACTCCAGGAGCTAACGCTAACGTCCCTACTCTGCGTGAGCCGGAGCCATGAGCTGCGGGCTCACAGAGAAGAGTAGGAACGTTAGTGTGGCAGTCAACTAGTGCTAACACTAACGTCCCTACTCTAGCTAAACACAGCAGAGACTGAGAGTGAAAGACATCGCTAACTGCTAAACTAGAGTTGGCTGTTTAGGTTTTATTTCCTCGCCCCTGTGGCAAGTGAATCTGCCTGTAGTGAAACCGGGGCTAACCGGTGCTTCCTCCTCAGGTTCCACTTCACTCAGCTGCCAGCACAGCCAGTTAGCCTCCGCTAGCTTCCCAGCTAACGTTAGCCCCGGCTCTCCGTTCGGATCCAACCGGAGCACCGAGCCCTGGTTTGTTATTCAGGTTAATGTGGGAAGAAGCAGTGGGTTTATCGGGCAGCTGAGTGAAGTGGAGCCTGCGGAAGAAACACCGGGACCATCTGGATGTAATAGTCCGTGGAGATGCTGCGGTGCTTGGCTGCACAGACGAGGTGAGTGGGGTGGGGGGTTGAGAGCAGAGGTAGAGGGAGGAGTGGCTCATGACACACTTTGTTTTGGTCTACAGGCAGTGCACAACAGCAAACCTAGCGGTGAAACGATTTTGCTTTTTGCCCCTTTAAAGCATCCTTTTATCGTGTTATAAGTTGTTATTCATGTTGTTACAGAGAGTGACGTCAGTGTTTCTTCTTACCTTTCCTGTTTTAAAGCGTATTCTAACATTTTTATTCTTCTAACCAGGTCGTTCTTCAGGTTCTCCTGACCTTTCCTCTCCCCCTGCAGGAACGCTATCCTCGCCTGCAGACACACACACACAGAGAAAGAGAGGGTTAATTCATGCTGTCATCAAACAGACTGAATGAGATCATCAGAGGTCAAAGGTGAAATCATGACCCAGCTTTGTGTGTAGCACGGATATGAATCTAACCCATGAACCCTTTGAAAGTGAAGGAGGCTGTTTGTGTGGAAAATATTCAGAGTAGGAACTAAAATTCAGAACACAGACGAATCTCTGTCACGTCATACAAACAACAACAATCACTTCCTGGCAGACGACAGCAGCTGATTTGACCTGTGGAGGTAAAATCAGCAAACTTTTGTGTTGGAACAAAAGAAGAAAATCAGAGGACAAACAGACAAAACATACAAATAATTTTTATTGTGTTTGTTTTCCATAAAAATTGATGCTCAACATGTCACGTGCCTCTGACATGCTGACTGACGCCATTTCTAGGTGATAAAATAACAATATATGATAATAACTTGTTGGGACTTGCAGTAACTTCACCACAAGTATCGATAAAGAGCAAAAACAGGGTTGGATTTACTTATGTAAAGCTCAGCAGGAGTTTATTAAATGTATGAACATACTGCTCGCTGGGCTGTGATTGGTCGTCTCTCCATGTTTGAAACACAGTTAGACAATCTTTATTTGTTCCACATCAACAACACCTCGTGTGTAAACTTTAAATTACAGGAGAAAATCAGCCAGTAGCGTATTAAACATCAGATCTCCTCTGTGACGGTGTTACAGTGACGCTTTAATAATCCAACCGTGTGGATAAACTGCCATTCAGCTGCAAATGAGGAGTTTAAATCCATCATTTCAGAACACTCTTCTTCTGTGGTGGCACCTCTTCAGCTCTCACAGTAACAGATCTTAACCAGAAGAACAATTACTTGATTATAGGGCTTTGTTGGGATTATAGGGTGCCACTGAGAAATATTTACGATTAACCAAAGCTTGGGGGACAAGACGTAAACATCCATGGCCTTGAGGAGGAGCGAGTGCGCGATGATATGGTTGGTGGAAAGAAAATAGTTCCTACATGAAACTGCTCTGAACTAGGTCTGAGGATTATCTTGAGTAACTGGGTTATGATTTCTGGAAAGAGACATTGCTGTTTCTAAAAGGGCTGCCCCCTAATGGTGGACCAAACGTTAGTCGACCAGAAAGGCCATTAAACTCTGTTAGGAGCTGCACCTTGTCAAAATAAATCCAAACCTATATGACTGGAAGGACAGACACAGGAAGTGTCCACGCTCAGCAGTCAGACAGGAGTCAGTTTAATTTCCAGGGCTGGTACCTGCGGTTATTCCACAGGCTAGTTAATAACATGTCGGGCAGGAAATCCAAAGTGTGGGATCATTTTGAGAAGGTGAAGGATGAACCCAAGGTGATATGTAAACTCATCTTCATTGGTCGACTACAAACATGACGTATCATCTGTAAAAGTAGCTACATGCCCATTAGCCCACAGCGTCATTAACAGGCAGCTTCCTCAGTGTGTGACGTGCACTTGGAGATAAAATATAGGCCTATATTAATGAAGGTTCATTAGTACGGTTTTGTATTTCTCTGTAATGTAGCACAGTGTTAATCATTACATTCATATCACAAACATGATTCTGTGTCCACTCAAAATGACGTGGGCTGGTAATTAGGATCAGTGTATATGATGGCATTAGAATGTGCCAGAGGCCTCCAGATCTGGGCTCTAATGTCCAACATTCTTCTCCGGAGGCATAGCTGGCTACTCCTTATCTTCTTGGAAAGCCACGTCCACTACTGAGGTCAAAATAAAACACAACTCCCCCCTGAAGACAGATATAATGTGTTGGAGGACAAGCGGATCTCTGTTCTGTGTCGTCAGTCAAATCTGAGTCGCCTTCAAACAGCTCACCTCCTTCAACCTGCAGCACCTCCTCCTGTCTGTCTGACTGACCACACCTGTCTCCCTGTTCATCCATCTGTCTGTCAGTCCACCTGTCTGTCTGTCCATCTGTCTGTCTGCGAGCAGCTGCTCCTGAAACCAAACACTGACGAAGGCCGGAGGCTGGGAGCTATTTATACACTGACACACACACAGAGTGCTCTCTGCCAGGGTGCCCATGGCAACAGGGGGGGATCGGAGGCAAACTGGGGGTCGCGACTTCCTCTAGTGAGGGTCGCTATGACAACGGGGAAACCAATGGTCCTCCCTCGACCAAAGGAGAGGGAGAGAGATCGACAGAGGGAGTGAACTGGGACGTCTGGGAGGAGGATTACATAACAGACCACACTAATTCAGCCATGCTCCAATTGGACGGCTCTGTGATTGACAGCCACAGCTCCCCACTACCCCCCCAAGATCCCTCTGACATACCAGAAGACATGCGCGTGCGCGTGCGCGTGCGCGTGTGTGTGTGTGTGAGCAGCCACACACTGTAAACAACCAACTCTCTGAAACAGGTTCAGTATTTGAGGAGCAGAGACGAGGACGGCTGCTGATGAGGACACACGTTAATTAGAGGAAAATTCCTCCAATAAAAACACTGCATCACTGTCAACACAGCAGTGATGTCACCGTGAGTCATTAACAGTTACAGGAAATATACCATGACACACACACACACACACACACACAATGATTTTACTGCTATTTGTCCCACTGTATGTTCGGACAGACTTTTATTTCACTAGCCGTAGCGTGTAGTGTGTGTGTGTGTGTGTGTGTGTGTGTGTGTGTGTGGACAGTATTTATCCTGTGCTGAGTGTCTGCTGACACACAGCTGTTGGGACTCTCCCCTGTCACCTTGTTGACCGCCATCAGTCAGCATAATGTAGAGTTAATGTTTGCTGTGTCACTACACTTTGAGCCAAACGTTCATCCCTGACAGTGTAAAATTTCATCCATAAAAATAAACTAAACATCTAACTTCACTACAGGGAACTACACACGTTTAAAATTCCTACCTGTTATTCCTGTGGTCGAAGACAGCCAGGAAGCATTCATAAACTCCCAAATCTAAAAACTAAAGTGCTAACCTCAGATTTGTGATGTCACAGGGTATAAATTCTGGAGTTGCTCCATAGAACATGAATTGGGAAAGATGTTTGCGATGACACTGACAGGACCCAGAGGTACGTTGAGCACATAGAGTCAATCACAGTGTTTGTGTACAATAAGTTCGGGGTAGAAAATCCTTGTGTCATGTACATAGAATCAAACTGTGCTGAGCAAACACTGCCTTGATTGGTTAGTTTTAGCCACCTAAAAAGGCACATCAAAATAAATTAATATCAGTGTTCGTGCATGCTACGTTTAGAATATTTTCATCACTTTACCTCGACGCCAGAGAACCTTTTCTGACAGGGAATCGTCTTTGTTATCTCAAAGCAACCAGACTCCACTGACAGAAACAGTAGTTACCAGTCCACCACAGCGCTAATTGGTTAGTGTGTACGGTAAAGCGAGGCAAATATTCAAGTTGAGTGTACACTTAAGGTCTTTCCAGAGTCCATTTCTTTGGTCCGAAATTGTCGCAAATCCAAAAAAAAATATGACTTCACATTCTGTCAGTCGCGTTAGCACACTGAGTCTGAAACTTTCAACCATCATTAAAACTTCTGTAACAGTTTCGTGCAGCTGCGGTGCCAAATGAAAGACAGGGAGGGAGCGGTGACGGCCAGATAGGTGGAACTCATTTAGACCGCAAGTGATGCGATTGTGAAGTGGTTGCGAAGTGGTCCACAAGCGTAGCGGCAGCACACGTGTATTCACACCAAAACCGACAACTTTTTACTCATTGGATTAAAATGTGCTATATATCGTGATATGAATCGTTATCTTGATATGAAATGACCTATATCATGATATGAGATTCTGGTCATATCGCCCAGCCCTAGGAAACAACGACCATTCGCGAGCGCTACACAAACGCATCACTTGCAGTGTAAATGAGGCCTAACTCCAGTGGAGAGGCAAAGGAGGAAACGTGTCTTTTTATTATGTCATGTGTTGCGAATTTTAGCAACAAACAAAACAATAAAACGTATCGGGATCAGTGTGCAAGGTTTTTGTCCGTAACGATTCTTTTTCAGATGACAGATTAAGAAACTTAACCCTTCCTTACCCTTCCACAAAAAAAAAAAAAAAAAAAAAAAAAAAAACGGACTCGGTGAGCAAAGACCTTTACACTGATTGGTTTTTTTTTCAGGAGGCTAAAATATGTTTTGCTGCAGCCCCGTCCACAGCAGAACGTTGTTTAGCTTCTGTGCTGGGAGATTTGGTTTATCAAAGATGATAGCAAAGCAACATAAAATAAGCACAGCAGAAATGTCAGACAGGTCGGAACACCATGTTTAACTACATATCTTTATATGTTACAGTTACAGCTGAAAATGACGACAGAAATCATCATGTTTTCTGAATTTACATATCTCCGCAATTGTAATCAATTGCCAGTTTTCTACCCAGCAGCAACTGCTGTTGTTTGAGCGACATTACGGTGATGCAGTCTACATGTGCAGGGCTTGACGCTAACTTTTTTCCCAAGGAGCACATGTGCGCCTAAGTTGAAAAACTAAGGAGCGCACAAAGAACTTTAGGGGCACAATGTAAATTGATCAAATAATGTGTTTTCCGTAATAAACGTGATGCAAATAGACATTTACAAGCAAAATTATTTAATGAATTTGTATACAAAATGTACAGAAAGGTAAAATCATCAAGTGTTTAAAAAGTATTGCAATTTAATTTTGTCTTTAATGTTATTATATAATATATATCTTATCTTTGCAATATGATTATCTTATATAATGTTATTACTATCCTAAAACATTCTCCAGGTCCTCTGAAACTCTGCAGGACTTATTTCCACCCTGCCCAGCAGCAGTACCGTGGCGAACGGTCCCTAACTGCGGGGAGAACGGAGCAGGCTTCCCCGGAGGTCTGCCGCTTTTCCCGGTCCCTCGTCTCTGCCACACTTTGACTTATTTCCACGCTGCCGACAGTGGGACTTATATTCATTGTGCC